ATCACGTAATATACATGCACATTTATATGCTGTTTGTACTTCAATTGGATTTGCATTTGCATAACCACCACGTGTTATTGGTATAGCAAAATATTCCATAAATGTTGGTAATGTACCTAATTTACCTGGAAAAACAAAATCAAATAATGACCATAATTCACGTAAATTATTTTGCATTGGTGAACCAGATAATATTAATCGATGTGGTGTTCGAAACTATACAAAAAAAAAAAAAAAAAGAAGGATTTTGTATAAGAAACTAAAAATAAATGATTCTTACTGATTTACAAGCTGTTGTTATTTGAGCATCAGGATTACGAATTTTATGACCTTCATCTAAGATAAAATAATGCCATGGATAAGATACAAGAGTATCATAATGAATAAGAATATTAGCATAAGATGTTATGAGAATACCAGCAGCTGTTGTGCCAATTTTATGGATAAGTCGATGCTATAAAAAAAAATATAATTAACTTTCATAATAATATGATATACTAACGATCTCTTGTTTGTTTATTAGATATATTTAGAAATAAAGCCAAGAGGGGAAAAGCGAAAATGCCGTATTTCTAGACTATGTCATAACTGTGCATCAGATCTGTTTAGCTATTTCAAGTCTCCTATCGACTTTTGTTACGGTATATTAGCCGGAGTTCAGTCTACATAAGTCTATCTGACAATGAAGTATATGGGCTTTAGGGTGAGGATGACTTGCGTAAGTTAGACTCCGACTAATATACTGTAACACAGGTCGATAGAAGACTTGAAATAACTAAACAGATCTAATGCATAGTTATGACATAGTTTGGAAGTACGACATTTTCGCTTTTCCCCCTTTGGTTTAAACTCTTAATTATTATTATACATAAGATTAAATTCTTACGCCTTTCTTTCCTTGAAATGAACCACTTTCATGCAATACAGCAACACGAAATTCAGGCCACCATTCATGAAATTCATGAACCCATTGATGAAGTAATGTAGATGGACATACAATGAGTACTGGACCAAGACCACGATAACTAGAAATATAAAATATAAATTTTCTTTCAAAAGACAAAAAAAAATATCTATTACCGATTTTGAGTATCTCGTACTCGACTATAATGAAATGCAGCAAGATAAGCAATTATTTGAATAGTCTAAAGAATTTAATCAATAGAAAAATATAAAATATTTTCTTTTTTTTTTGAATCATTACTTTTCCTAAACCCATTTCATCAGCAATAATTCCACCACATTTTTGTTCATATAATTCCCATAACCATTTTACACCAGCTCGTTGATAACTTTGAATAAATAATAAATCAAATAAAGAAATTAATAACAACAAGAAATCAAAAATATTACTTAAATAATCGATTCCAAATACTTGATGGTATCCAAAAACCTTTACCAATTTCAATATCATCATTTTCATTATTGTTTGTATGACTAGGTGGTTTTTGATCAGCATAAAAATCTCTTAGACGTGTAAGATATTGTTGATCATCACCATCATCTTTTGCTGATGAACGTTTTTTCTTTTTTTTTGGTTCATAAAAATCTTCATCTTCATCAACTAAACGTTGTTTTTCATCTTCATCACTCTCAAACCTAAACAAAACATTTTAACAAGTAAACATTTCCTAGTCACCCAGGTCGAACAGTACCGGCCGGTTCCGGCAGGAAAACACCGGAAATCAAGGGAACATGGAAGCAGTATTCCGGCCGGAAATTTTTCGGATTTTTTTCCGGTGGATTCCAGCCAATTCCTGTTCTTTCCGGCAGGAACCGGCCGGAAAAAGTCCGAAAAATTTCCGGCCGGAATACTGCTTCCATGTTCCGTTGATTTCCGGTGTTTTCCTGCAGGAACCGGCGATTTTTCCGCGTCTTTCCTGCCGGTTCCTGCAGTATCCGGTGACCGGAACGATCGACCTGGGCAAAATTCATTTTTAATTAAACACAAAACTATGAAATAATTTTATTATACATAACGAAAATCTTGTACATATTTGTTGCCTTTCCTCACTAGACATCATAGTCATTTTTACAAACAAACAAAATCAACATTTTGAGTATTCGAAGTATTAAATTTCGAGAGCAGATAGTTATTATTCTGTCAAAGAAAATATATAAACTAATATATTCTGCATAGTTTTTTTTTGTGGTTGGAATATAACAAAACATAATTTACATATCATCTATGAACTAAGTTAAATTCGAAGACAGATAAATAATATTATTAAAAAAGCATAAGCTTAAAAACATCCTGTTGTTTTTTCTAAGTCGAAAGATAAAGAAATATCGTCTAACAAAACATGCTGCAATTCATAAAACTTGCCTTTATATTTAGAAATTAATATAAAAAGTAGAAATCGTCCGTACTGATGGTTTTTATTTGTTGTGGTTAACCGTCGATTTTTCCGAAATCAAAGTCGATATGAAAATACATTGGTGAACTCTACAACTTCCTAAATTCAGTCAGATTTCAATTGAGAACACTCGCGAACTCCTTATTCTAATCTTTTTTTTGTTTTAAAGTCTATTTAATTTTGCCTAACAGATAAACATAAATATGAAATTTTACCAAGCATTATCTTCATCATAAACCATTTTACTTGGATCTGTTTCTTCATTATCGTCATCCGATGATAAAGAATTTATAACTAGTGGTTTCTTTGTTGTTGTTTTTGTTTTTGTTTTTTTAATTGGTGATGGTTTTTTCTTGACTTTTTTATCTCGATATTCAATTGGACCATCAAGTGTTAAAGGAGTTGATGGAAATGCAGAACTATCAGTTGTAGTAGTTTTTTGAACTTCACTTGGTTTTTTTTCAATAATTTTATTTTTTAATTGTTTACGTTTATCATATTCATGATCAAGACTTTGCATAAATGAATCAAATGATGTTAAACGTTCATTTTGATCTATTGTTGATTTAAGAAGACCATTTTCATCATAATTATGTTGTGTTGGCATTAATGTATCAATAAGACTAGTTGATGTTGTTGATTCTTGATTTAGAAAAAGAAAAAAGAAATTTATCTTATTAAATTTTAATTTTTATACATACGTTTGATTTGATTATTTTCATTATCAATTGGTGAAAAACCAATAAGTTCAATTTTAAGTGATTTTATTTTAGCAATATTTTTTGTTAATTGTTGTTTCTAAAAGTATTAATATTTATGAATTTATCTTTTCTTTTCTTTTTGGTTGATAGAAACAAACCAATTCTTTGATTGTTTTTTCAATATTCGCTTTTTGAATATCTTTTCTTGATGCAAGATATGTTGCTTTATCAATAGTTGATAATATTTGTTGTTTTGATGATATACTACTTCGAAGAGAATTATTTGTTTGTTCAAGTGATTGAATTTGTTTTTCAATATGAACTGATTTATGATGTCGTTCTTGATTTGATACAACATTATCAACTTGATCGATTAAACCTATTCAAGAAAAATAAAAAAATATATATATATGATAGAGGAGAAAAAAAAAGACCTTGTTCAAGATCTGCTTGATTAAAAACACTTAAACCAAGTTGATTAATTTCATCATTTTCATCAATTAATGTTGCTGTTTGAATTTTATTTCGATCTAATTTAAATTTTTCAGGAATTTCATTATCATCAATTATTGTTGAAGAATTTGAATCAGTATTTTCTTCATTCATTTTATACTAAAAAGAAAGAATGTTAATAAAAATAGGTCATACTTTTCTGAAATGTTAATCCAATCAAATGAACTTTTAAAGAAAACTATCATCATTGTGAAATACTGTTTCGATTGAGCATATTATTCGACACTCTTCATAACCAATTATTTTTGATGTCGCTTGTTGTTCGAATTTCTAGAACTTTTTTTTACAGTAAATCATATTTCTATTATATATGGTCGTACGATAAAAGTATAAGAATTTATTGAAATTAAGATCTATTAATTCTTGATTGTGTTCAGAAAAAAAAACATGTTTTACTAATTAGTCAATTAAGAAAAACAAAATAAAGATGCAATAGATATATTCTTTCAAGGTGATTGTGAAATTTAATCTAATAAAAAGATTCAATCATCTTTATTTTATTTAATATGTGTAAATAAGTATTGAATAAAGTAATCATTTTCTAAATCGATTCTACTATTCGAAATTATAGGAATAAGATTTTATCCTTATCTAATTCAAATCAAAATAGTTCTTTCAACAGTTAATGATTTATTATAGAAAATGAAATCAATTTTTTAAGAATATCATCTGAAAGAATACTATATTTTACACAAAGTGATAGATCATGACGTTTTCTTCGACCTTCCGTTCAAATGTTACAAATATTCTCATAAATGAAATTATCGATTTTTTGATAAATTTAATTATTTTTCGTGTTCGTACATTTTTAATAGAAAATCTTGAAAAACACATGGCGATCTCTCATTTTGTTCTCCGGTCTAGTAATTTCATTTGCTTTCTTTTTAGAAATCATATTTCCATAGTTCATTCATAGAATCTCCTTGTATAAATATATGCAATAAAGAACTATATTGACTATTTAAATTTATACTAGATGCTCGACATCATCAAAGAAAAAACTTTGTTCTTATAATTTTGATTATTGATAATTTTCAATTATTCTTTCTTGAAAATTTTAAATAAAACGCTAAAATGTCTATAAAATTGATTCGTGTATATATAACTTATTCAAAAATAACGATATATTAGATAAAAGGAAAAGTTTTATTCATGATGTGGTATTGAACACAAATGAATCAGTTTTTAAATAAATAAACAAAAAAAATCGACTAAAAGTGAAGATATTTTTTTAAATAGATATGAAACATTATACATTTAATAAAAATAAATAAAGTTCTAGTTTTTATATGTTGAGTCATTGATATCTAATGAATTAGAAAAATTAAAAAAAGATTAATTTATAACAATATACATTTTATTAATAAAAGAAAAAATAGTTACATGTTTTTTTTGTTTTTTTGAAGATATAAATCAAAATTTCACCTTGTTAATCAATTGAATGTATCATTTCAAAAATGTACTTAACAATATTTTCTGCTTGTATTTTAAGATGTTGAGCAAGTTGACGAAGTTTAATTGAGATATCAGAAGATTCTTTTTCATGTAATGCTTGTCCACTTAATGCAAGATCAATTATTTGAAATGGTAAAGTAACGGCACCTAAAAGATAAATATTTGTTATGTCAATTACATTATTTTCATTTTTTTTTGTTTTTTCTATACCTAAGACAACTGAAGTAGCACCAACAAGTCGTAATGAAGCAACACTAGTAAATGGTACTGTTCTAATTGATAAACATGTTGCTTGTGTAATACGAATAATTGAACATGTTAGATTAGTTAAACTTGATACTCCTTGAATAATACTACTTGCTATTCTTAAATCAATTTTATTATCGAAAGAAGAATTATTTTTTTTAATATCATGTACCATTATTTCAAGATAATCAGCTAATCGAAAAATATTTGTTTCATCAGCTTGACAAATTTCATCTAATTTTTTTAAATTTGATTCCGTTAAAAAATGTTCAGTAATATCAGAACCTAAATGAGCTGCACCACTTGTTACTGCTAAACCAATACCACCAATAGTAAGTAATGTTGATATACCACCAGTTGGTATAGCAAGTGCAAGTCCTGCTATACCAAGAACTGTACCAGCAATACCACTGCTACTAGTTACAACTTTGGTAATATTGACATTTTTATGATTTTCATCGATTTTATTGGCAATTTCGATAATTGATGATATTGCTTGTTCTCGTTTATCAAGAAAATCAGCTAGTAAATTTTCAAGATTTTGTAATTGTTGTTGAATGTCAGCCATTTAAGAATATATATATATTTTTTTTATAATGAAATCTTAATTAATGAGAGTAGTGTTTTACAACAAAATAATTCTTTATTCTCTATTTATAAATAAGAAAGTAGATTAATGAGAATTGGTGAAAAAGAAAAACAAATTCAATTTAGATGAATGCTATATTGGTATTTATATCATTTTGATATTCCCTTTTATCTATCTTCGACTTTTCATTGAGTTTCTCATATTGAAACTTTTATTCTATGTGAGATAAATACAACTAAAATGATGAAGTATTGCATTCAACACCATCATTCGAAAGTCGATGATAATTATTCTCAGGTTTGTTATAACTCTCCGGTGATGTTAAATGAATAGCATATTCGAAATTAGCGGCACACACTGTATCGAATCATAGATAGTTTAGAAATTTTTTTTTCTGACGAGAACCCAACTCCGAGAAGAGTATGGGTGAAATTTTATAAAAAACACACTTGAAAAGGACCCAAGGCGTTTTCTTTTTCCATTGGAAACAACTTTTACTGAAACATATATGATTCGGTGCAATTTTTGACACTAATTCTGAATATACTGTTCATTTAGCATCACAGGTGAATTATAGTGACTAAAATGGATACATACGAATGCATTTTTCACTTTTTCTTTTTTATCTAAGTTTGCCACCGAAGAAGGAAATAATTCAATTTTCTCAACAGCAAAACAAAACTCAAAAATAACTCTAATACATTAAAAACCATTCAAATAATCATTTTCTTCTCAGTGTTTAATACTGAGTCTGAATATAATGTTTTCAAAAATTTAGTTATTCGAATTTTTTGAAACTCTATCAAATCATATATAAATAAACAAAAAAAGGAACTCACTTACACTTTGTAGTATGCGCACCTTAAAAATTATTTAGTTTTCCTTGTCTTAAATTTAATACTTAATAAATGAATGTAATAATAAGTTAAAATAATGTACATTCAAACTACTAATTTTCAGTTAATTCTACGAGAAATAGGCATAGAAGGAAAGGCGGTGATAGGGGAAGGGATCAAACATTGTGTAATGTCTCAATGTAAATTCAACATTCGCCCGTGTCTATGTTATCTTTTTTAAAGAAAGCAGAGAGTAATCGACTGGTCTGAAAAAAAAACTATTAATCGCAAGAGCATCCTTAATACCAAAAGATTTGTTTAACTTCTGTGGTTAACATATATTGATATTTAGTGCATAAAATAGAGATCTGAACTATTTTTTTTATTATCTAGCTAGTTTATTCTAACAGTTAAATGAACTTTTCTCTTTAATTAGATTCGGTCTACCAAGTGATCCAAAATATGTCAGTGGATAAGAACCGTATTTGGACCATCCTTAGTTGTCCTTCATTCATGGTTTACCTAGTGTAGAATTGCATGAAGAATTGTTTGACAACACAATAAAGCAATTTCTCAAGAATTTAGATACTTTTTGTTTGAAATTATTGATACCACTGTTTGTATCAAAAATGTATGATTCATACATCGAAGAGTGGTTTTTAGAAATTTAGTTAGAACGATTGAAGGGTTGCTGAGTGATACCGTAAGTCTTGTTTCAAATTAGCATGAAAATGATATGGTTTAATATCAATCCTATTCACTTCTGCACATTATCTCTTTAATATCTCAAGAAAGAAAAACAAACAACATCGGTTCTCAACTAATTCTGAAAATTCTTTAAAAACGACGACTTGAGTTTCGTTTAGACAACATTTTATACATTTTTATCACTAATTGTTAGTAGATTTCAATTGGAAAAAGTAGGTCATTAATGAAAATAAATAACATATTTGAAATCAGCATAAAAAATCTGAATCGACTTATATGTATTTCAAAGTTTTTCGATGAATTTTTTTCATTTTCGAAAAATTGAACTTGACGATTCCTTTCAGAGAGTGTAAAACATGGTCTGAATCTGAAAAATGTCACTGCGACGCCAAAGAACAAATAACTAAATAATAAAAATGGTATTTAAATTAAATTCAGTTTTTTTTGACTGGAATTTGATGGGGGGGAGGGGGGAGCTTAATTTTTCGAAAAAAACAAAAATTCATCGAAAAATTTTCAAATACATATAAGTACACTCAGTTCTTTATGGTAATTTTAAACATCTTATTCATTTTCATTCAGGATCTACTTTTTCCAATTAAAATCTGTATGCAAATGTTGTCCTAACCAAATTCAAAGCGTATTTTTTCAAGTTTTCAATATCAGTCGAGAACCGATGTTGTTTGTTTTCTTTCTTGAGATATTAAAAAACAACGTGCAGAAATGAACAGAGACGGTAATTTAACCATATGATTTTCATGCTGACTTGAAACAATATTTACAGCATTACTTAGCAACACTTCAATTTTTCTAATTCTACGTTAGACTCTAAAATGTGCAGTCGATTGACATTGTTTTTAGTTAAGAATGTTTTAGTATGGGAAAATTTCTACAAACAATTCTCCGATGTATGAATCATGCATTTTTGGTAGAAACGGGCATATCAATAATTTCAGACAAAAAGGGTCTGAATTCTTGACAAATTGTTTTAATTTGTTTGTTATCAAATAATTCTTCATGAAATTCTACATTAAGCAGATCATGAATGGAGGAAAACAACGGATATTTCAAAAGCGGTCCTTATCTATCCCCATCTCGTCCTTTAAGGATGAGATTTATAAAAAAAAAGAATTGTTTTTCAGATTTAGATTTGGGCTGCGAATCGATCCAAATGTAAGAATAAATCAACGAAATTTAATTGTGTATTCATAAAACAAGTAATATATTTCGATAAAGAACTGTCGGTTAATGATAGTTAACCGAAGTGAATCGACGATTTTTTTTTTAGCAATCCGAACGACATGGGTGAGTTCCCTTTGGGCTCTAGGTATATCCGAAAACTTCTTTCACCTTCTGAAAGAAATTTGACTCCTGAATTCTTTGTTCTTTGAACAGCTAATTACAGAGTGGCCCAAAATTCACTTTACTAAGAAAAAACTGAACATTTCTGTTATGACTTTACACTCCATATACATAAAAAATAGAATTAAAGGGAATCGTTTTTAAGTATCACTGTTAACTTCAGGAAAAAAAATTTACTTTTTCACAGTAAGAAAGAATGTATGATGAAGAAGAGACGATTTATTACAATAAAATGTAAATAATCAACTAAGCATTCGACTATTACACATCGTTCGTTTCACATATCTTTCCTTTTACTATTTTTCTTCTTTGATTCTACTATGGTTCACATGGATAGTCCGTAAGATATACATCACTTTTCTTCCTATGTTGCGGGTCATATTCGTATAACATCTCTGTTTACGTTTGTTTTATGTTTTCTCTGTAAGTCTTGTTCTAGTATGTTCTTCATTTTCTATCATTTATTCGGCGTGTACCTCTAGTTGAGAGCCTATGTGTTTGCAGATGCCGAAATAGATTAGAATAAGAAGACCAGACGAGTACAAGGGTGATCGAAAAAATACAAAATAAACGTAAGTAGAAATGTTTATACGTATATGACCCATAACGCAGGAAGAAAAGCGATTTATATCATTCGGATTGTCCATGTGGACCATAGTAGAGGCAAAGGAGAAAAATAATAAAAGGAAAGATATGTGAACGAACGATGTGTAATTTTCAAAAATTGATTTGATTATTTACATTTTATTTTGCTAAATCGGCTCTTCTCCATTTTACATTCTTTCTTCTTATGAAAAAGTCAAGTTTCTTTTCTTGAAGTTAATAATGATACTTAAGAAAAGGTTCTATATGGTCCTCTCTTTATTTTCAAGGAAAAACTCTGCTTGTTCGGTCGAGCAATAACACAGATATTCAACTGTTGCTCGACAAAGTGACTTTTGAACCATCCTGTGTTTTTCTTGAAATTTTTGTACCATTTATCTCTTGGTTAGTCAAATTCGTCCGTTCCCTATAAGAATGCTTTTTCAACTCTTCTTAGTAAATGTACTGAGCTCAAGGTGTTCGTATCTATGAGAAATTCTATTTCTTGATTTTTTTCAAAAACTGATCTAAAAATACAATAGTCAACCAAAAAAGTCAATATTTTCATAGATAAAGATTGCATTTATAACCAAAGATGTAATATTGGTAGATGAAGATACCAAGGATAAGAATGTATTAATTCTAATTCCAGTCTTTTGACTTGGAATCAAAGTATTAATTTTATAAATTCAAAAAAGTTCAATATGCACTTTTGCTGCTCTTAAAAAAATTTTTCATTTTTTTTTCTTTCGCTACATTCTGATATTTGACATATTAATAATACATAGTGTTTGAAGAACGTCCAGTTTAAAATCACAAATTTGTACTAACTTGAGTATTTTTCAGAAAAAAGTTTAGATATGTTAAACTATGTGTTTTTTACATATGAAATTGTTGATTGTTGGTTAGTAGTTTTCGTTCTTCTTCGATAAAATTGAATTGAAAAACATGAAATTTTTCTAAACATATCTTGATTTAACAGGATTTGCATATTTTAATTGTATCAGTGTTCTTTAATCTAAACTTATTCTTAATTTTATTCATTTCTTAATAAAATAATAAAAATATGCATCATTTATGTATTTTTTGTATATTTTCATTCAAATTTCTATGTTTGGTTAAAAAATAAATATTAAATCCTTCTAAGATTATTCTTGTCGTCATTACGATTATTTCTTTTTCTTTACAAATTTTCTAGCTATTGAAACAAAATAAAAGAGAAAATATCAAATCATATTCATTTTAATACTAACAGAATTTAAGATTATATAACTAATGTTAAAATTTTTGTATTTTAGATTTTGTATAACATGACAAATTATTCTGATTTTAATCGTAATTTTGAAAACACATTGAATAAAATTTTAGCCGATTTGGATAATCATGATTTTATACAGTCTGCTCCAATTCATTCGAATCTACAATTCAATATTCCAATTTCAGATCCATATATTGTTCATTTGAAGATTAAAATCGACAATTTCTTTCAAC